TGTCACTCAAATGTAGAAATTCAGGTGTGATTCAGTTTTTTCCACTTGAAACTTTATTTATTTCATACGTGCAAAAAACTTGTTCATGTTAAAATATGTTAATTTCCTATACGCAAGAAATGAGAGTCTCGAAAACTCGTCGATAACCAACTTTTGGATAATGATAGAACGATTTTAAAGCCGCTGAGCGTATTTTTTTACATGGGCAACGAATATGGTAGTTTTTTACTTTTTTTCCTGTCATTTGTCTGTCTCCGTACAGCGAATAAAAAAAGAAACTCAAAATGGCTTTTTTCCGGAAAAAAAACGTAAAGCTCGAATTGACTAAAGTGACTCGTTTATTCTCTTTGATCTGTTCATTACTTGCTCATTACGACTGTTCTCAATCCATTAAAATAGTTTTCATAATTCATGAACATTCAAATGGCATATAATACTCTTTTATTTTTGTTCGGGTTCATCGTGGAACATTCTTCTTCATGCTTTAATAAGATATTGACAAAAGTGTGAAAAGAAATGAAATGATGGGATGTCTTATTTTTGTTATACACCGTCAGGTTTATTACCTGATTATAAAATGAGTTGTGCAAGATGTCAAAGATTTACACAAGGAAAAGGAAAAGAATTTCTTGCCCACATGACGAACGCTAGAAGCGTCCACATGTAGTGGTTGGAAAGAAGAGACAAATCTAGATATAAATGCACAGATTTCTTACATTGCTCACATAATCGGTAAAGTAAGTGAGGAAAGACATGTTTGTCCCTCTTTTTCTGCAGTCTAATCTTATTTTGTGTAGAAAAAAAAATAACTTGACAAACAATAGATAATAGCAAATAAAAAAATGAAAAAAGAATTGCCATAGTAGAACGACAGATCGCTGTTATTCGTTTTCAGATAGAAAGAATTTAGAAAGAACAGTGACGATTTTCTTGTTCAATTATTGCAAAGAAGGCTTCTGCTCGTCGGTGTTCAAGTGGAATATCTCCAGCAAACTTGTCTCGTTTCTTCCCTGTAAGTCACTTTGAAGTCTATTTCCTTGTATGTTCATCGAAATAGAGAAAGGTAGCCTCACCAAAAAGCCAGTGCTCCGATTGTAGAGACGTATTCAGAGAAAGTTTCACTCCCTAACAGAATAAAAAATGTAGTATATTCTTCTTTCTAAATGCATTTAAGCGTAGTTTCTTATCTAGAGGTGGAATACTGTCATCATGAGCGGAAACCATCAACATCGACTACTTCAGCCACCGTCTCTTGATTTTTCATCATACAATCGAAATGAACATTTGAAACTCGAGGATCATCCTATTCCACCTGCACTCTCCACACCAAGCTCGTATATTCTTTTGAAAGACCATCGGGACGATCCGTTTCAAGGACATAGTCCACCTAGTATGCCATTCTATAAAACATATTCCCTCTCCTTCTGGGCCTATCTGCCAAATGACGACGTTCGCCTTCGCATTGACTTACACTCAATGACGTCGAAGAAACGTCTAATGTTTCAAATTTGGTCGAAATGCTGCTATTCGTATCCAGGAAATAGAGACTCGTATGATCGCAATCAATTTCATGCAAAACCAGGAACATCGTTACCTGAACATCAAACATGGTTCCATGTATTGTGCGAGTACGATGAAAGTACTTACGTGGGATCACTCTATATCAATGGTCAGAAAGTAGAGTGGGAAGACGAAGGAAGACGAACAATAGTGGCCGAGGAATATCACAAAGTTAGAGATCCTTCGGTTCATCTCTTTTGCTTAGGCAATGCGGTAATACGCCTTGCCGATGTTCGAATGTTACCTTTTCTTCTCATACGAGAGGAAATTGATGCGATCAACGAAGGCAAATGTTCGTTTGATCAAATTCAAGTTGAATCTCTCATCAAAGACAAAGTTCTGTCTACGCCTCAAACTTAATGACCTTTTTATTTAATCAAGAATTTTTTCCTTCACTTAACCCTTTGAGTCCGAGAAACAAACCAGCTGTGTTTAAAAAAAAATAATTTCAATAATAATTAATCTAGTTATGAGCATTACTAATACATAAAAATAATTTTTCTTTGCTTTGTCTTAATTATTTTTTTGCACATTTATTAACTTTTTATGTATAAATTACACAATATTGAAACATAATGTAACTTTTAACATTTATTTTACCAAATAAATAATTAAAATAATATATATATTTTACTTCAACAATGATTACACGTTCTCAAGCCCAAAAAAGATCACGATCGACCAATAATGATTCTGGTTTTCAAACAAACGAATTTTCTGACAATGATTCATCAAATTCAAGTTGAAAGTCTGGAGATTTTAATTCAAGTAAAATTTCATCAAATTCGTCAAGTAGCAACTTTGAATACACTTCTGATAGCGATTTACCAGAGTCTGAAACAGAAGATCACCAATTCGATCCCAAAAGTTGGTCAAATAACTGTCCAGAAATGCTTCCTCTACAATTTATTGGGACTAGCCGAATGAATTTTGATAAATTGAGATCACCAATCGATTATTTTCGTAAATTTTTTGGTTCAAATTTGATTCAATTACTTGTTACTGAGACTAATCGCTACGGTTTAACAAAAGAAGCTAACTTTATTGAAACTGATCTGGTTGAAATTGAAGGTTTTTTTAAAAAAGTCTAAATATAAAACAAAATACGTAGTCTTTTACAAATTTCATTAAACAGAAAAAAGAAATAAATAAGAACGGCTTACGTGGAAATTTTTGATTTCTTAGTTGTATATTTAGTTGTTCCCGTTTTATTGGTTTTAATTGACGATAAATAGACAACCTAAAAGAGTCACATGCAAATAATCTAGTACAATTGCGTAGGGTAATGATACATCCAAAATACTTTCAAGCACACTTTGTCCTAAATGGCCATTAATATTTGTGTGTGTATTTTCAGCTTCCTTTGATGCTGCTAAATATTGTTTTGGTGTACGTAAAATAATTGGT